CAGCTCCTGGGGGCCTTCTCAGGACTCTGTCTGGCAGAGCTTGGATATTGGCAGCCTTAATTCGAGCATATGAGTGCTTCTTTTTGCATCTGCAGTCTCTCTTTTGCTATGTATTTTGGAAAGGTTATTTCATAATTTACTGTACAAAGTATTGGAATATTTCACAAGGGCAGCTCCTCTGCTGTTAACATGCAATCCCTGAACTGGAAATCAATCTAAAAGCTAATTCTCCCTGGTCCTTTAATATCTTCTACACTTAGAACAAGCTCCATCGTTAGAGGATATTGAAGTGCTTTGCCAGGGGGATGCTTCCTTTCTGAGGTATTACACAGATTTAGGTTTGAGAAGGTTGACTGATTTGTCCAATATCACAGTTTGGTGGCAAAATTTAGCTCCCAACCCCAGGTCCAACTGATAGTCCTTTTATCTCTCTCAGGGATTAGTTGATTTAAGGAAAGTGTCATAAAGCTGCATTATTTGAATGAGCTAATAATTCTGAACCACCCTGGAGTAGCTGGCAAATCTGCAGCAAAGAAAGAAACAAAGAAAAAGCAGTTGTCACAATCTTACATCTGAAAAGAGACAGGGCAAACTGTACCAAGCTGATGAAATGGGTAAAATGGTCCTACTGTAGATTTTTATTGTGTAATCCTGTTCCACATAATCACTGCTCTTGGATTTTGTGGGAGCTGTTCCTGGATTTCATCTGCCTATGAGAAGACAGAAATGCTCTGCCCTAGGGAGAACAATTGAGTGGGGGAGAAGTGTTTCTTAAAATCCACAGTAAAAACCTCTCTGCTTTGTCTAGAGCTCATTAGAGAGTTTAAAGAAAACTCAATGTCGTGTTTAAATGCCTTTCCCCCCTCAGTTTTATAGATGGTTAAATGGCACACAGGTTGTGCTGTCTCAGCCATCAAAAGCTAAGAAAGGAGGTTAAAAGACCCCAGGGATCCTTCACATTAATTACTACCACTGTCAGTTGGTGTGAAACCATGTTTGGGCCTTTTAGAAAGGAACAGTGTAATTTGTGCTTTCAGTTAGGGCTGAAACAAATCCTGCAGATACTGATGGTGTATACTCACGTGTAAAAATGACTAATTTGTTTCCACTGAATTCTTGTAGTTAATCTGGGAAAAATTTATGGGAAACCCCCTCACCCTACCCCAATAACTCCAATTGAATTTTAGCAACCTGAATTGGCAGTCTGTAAAACTGGCTTGAATTAATTGGAAGCCTAATCCACGGAAATTAGCTAAAAAATGCATTATTCACTCCAGTGTAGCAGCAGGGAGGAGAAATGAAAGAAGCAGAGAGGAAAAGCAGAAGCAGCACCTAAGGCAAAGGGCTGTCATTTGAATTTCATAATCGAGGGTGAGACAAAGACACCTCTTTGTCCAAGTAAACCACCTTCTGAAAGGGGAAATCTGAAGAAAACACAGAACTATGCAGCCTGAGCATTGGGGCTGGTTGGACTCTGCATCTCCCATCATTTACAGTGGTGCACAAGAACAACCAAAGTGAAATGAAGTTTCTATAGCACAGCAGCACAGTGTATGGGTTACATTTGCCACGCAATGTAGTCCAGTGTAGTCAGCCTGCTGAGAGAGACACACACAAAATAAAAAACTGGGCTGCACCACAGCAACAGAAAGGCTGGTTTGAAATCCCTTTCCACACCTGCATCCTGCCCCATGTGGTGGCAAACCAAAAAGAGACATTATATGTGAGTTACACCCGGGTGTGTGCAGAGAAATGGCAAAGACTGGAAAGATAGAAATTTTCTAGAGGACATAATGACAATTAGCTTGACAACTAACCTAACAAGTATATCTCAGAAGGCCAGAGGAGTTTGAGGCTGTTTCATTGAACGGCCCAGGCCCTGAGCAGGGCACTGCTGCTAGGACTGGCACAGCAAGGTGGGACAAGGGCTGGCTGCAGGCTGACACAGCTGAACTGGCTCTGGGCTGAGACAAGCACCAGGGCTCAGTGAGGAAGGGGGCTGGACCACGCTGCTGGGCAGAGAGGGGAAGGGTTAACCCTTTTGCTAGCAGGGAATTGTTAGATCAGCCCAGGTGTCATCTGAATCCCCATCTAGACGTGCCCTACCCTTGCAGTTTCACTCAGCTGTGTTATGCTTGTCCTAAAATCTCTTGCTGCTGTGTTACACAGTGCTCATGCTTTCTTAAAGGATGTCTACCCCAGGAAGGTGCACACTTTGCCTACGAGAGTCTGGCACATAGATACATGTTTAGCTCACAAATCCAGTGTTTCAAAAAAGGGAAATCTTAGAGGTGAGGAAACCAAGAACAGAGTGGTTCACAGAAACACAAAGTCTGATTTTCACACTTCTCAGCAGCAGCACAGAGAAAGTTAAAGCATGGTGCTGCCTTATTATTTTTAATTAGTATTGCATCCCCAACACACTATGACCTGCTTTTTGCTTTGCCACATATGTGTTGCATGATGTGTAACCTCTTAGTGTCAGCTTCTGTCTAATTAATCCAGGTTTGACTGCTACAACCTATGAGTTGTCCACCAGCTTTGTACGTGATATAACTCTTGGAGTTATATCTTTTGGGTATCTAGATCCAATTGCTAAGACAAGATTGAAATTCTGTTTTGTTTTTGGTTGTTGGCTTGGTTTTTTTTTAAATTGCTTAATGTGCTTGGGCAAATGAAGAACAGATTTTTGGGTGCCTTTCTGGTTATAAATTGTAATTAGGAAAACCTTTGCTATCTCCCAGAAGCAGCCTGCTAGTTACTGCTATTGGAGTGTGTGGCATTTGTACTCTGATTTAATGAGAAGGCACGTGCCAAATTCTGTACTAGTTACTTGGTTTGAACTTGCATAACTGAAGTTTTGTGAAGCATTTCCCATTCCAAGGGGAAATGATACCACAATGGGACTTAATGAATTGTGTACCTACGAGAGCAATATAGCTCCCAAAATGCTGGGTCAACTGAACTGCTTGTGCTGTAAACGCAGCAATAAAAGCTCTGCTGCTCCTCCTTTCCTAAGCATGGCCAGAACCTGCAAAAATCAGTTTTCACAGTGAAAAGGTGACATCAGACATAAATGGGAAACACGTGCAATTGTGTTGGATTGCAATTTTGGAATGCCTAGTTGTGATCCCATGGCTTTTGCATTAGTTCTGTTCATTTGAATGCTATCAGTGACTTCTCTGGTACAGGATCAGACCCTAATTACTAAAACAGTGAGCTTAGCATGGCTCTTGGAAATATGCTTCCATTGCTGAGGAAAGAACCTTGTCTGCTGTTTGATTTGAAATTCTTCTGGGCAGTAAGATTAGCTCTTGATGTTAAGCTAACTAAGTGGTTCATTCATCATTTATTTATATCTGTGTTCATAGCTTGAATCTGGGTTTTTGGGGCTTGTACTGCAGATTCTGTCTCATTCCAGGAGCTTTCCAACCATCTGCATCTGGCACTTAGGGCTGGGGAGCAAAGCAGAGGGTGGTGGTGGTGATGATGTGTCCCAGCAGTGCTGCTCTGTGCTCTGGTGCTGTTCTGTGAATGCTCCTTCCACACCAGGGGAAAAAACACATGGAACCTCGTGCACTGGACAAATAAAACCACCAGAGATGAATTCGAGGGAAGAACTGCTAATATGGATGATCTTGTGGAACTTCCCATGTACCCCAGGAAAAAACGGAGCCCTTTTTTTGAGATGATCTGCAGAATAAACATTGAGATTTCTTGTGTCCGTAAGAAAGTAACAGCAGTGTCAAAGCACAGCTAATAAGAGGGACAAAATGAGATAAGGAAAGGTGAAGTAGTGAGACAGGAAAAAAAAAAATTGAAAGACAAAAGGTGAAAAGGGAGAGAAAGGTATCAGATTTCTTTTGGCATTCATCTGCTCTGTATATAGAGTTTGAATATATTTTCCAGAAGAGGATTTCCCCTTGCATTTGCAATTCAAAGCTTCTAGCAAATTCCACCGTTTCCCTTGGCACTTCTTCAGCCTCTGTGGATTTTCCAGTTCTGCTTTTTAGATGCAGTGCAATTGTCAAATTGTGCAGCTTTATTTTTTTTTTCTGCCCTGAAGTAATGTGACTTAAGGTGTATTGTGGCATTCCTTAAGTTTTCGGTTCAAAAAGTGAAAAAGTGCAGGGAAATTGTTCCCTTGTTCCCTTGTTCCCATCTCTTTAGAAATTAATTCATGTATGGTCTTTAGGACTACTTGGATATTTGACAGTGTTTCCTGTCTTTCTTCACTTTATTCCCTTGCATGAATTAGTGGATAAAAAGATTTGGGATTTTCCATAGTATGGGTAGATGCTGATATGAAGCTATTATGTTGGACGAAAATACCAGTAATGGGGTGGCTGGGGCATGCTCATAAAAATAAATATTATCAAAGGGGGTGATGTACTTGGGATCACATGTAGAGAAATAGAAACCTGCTGTATTGCTGTCTTGGGACCAAAAGACTTCTATCCCACATTGCAGCTAATTCCATCTGTCCTGTATGCCTATCCAAAATATTGGTTTTAGCCAGTCAGTCTGAGATCACATCAATAAGAGGATAACAAATGTTGCCTGACAGTGAAGAGTACAGATGGTTGTTTGCTTTATTTTTACTTTTCCTAGTGCATAAAATTAATAATTTTTAACAGAGCTTTGCCTTACATGCATGCTGTTAACAAGCTGAAAACATTTCATATTTGTCAAAGCAGGACTGCAAAATAAAACTCTGATCACTAAAGCATGGATGTCTGGAGAGAATCTTTATGGTGGAGAGCAGAGAAGTAACTACCATGTGGCTCTTCAAAAGGCCACATGCAGTGAAGATGTGTTAAGAAAGTGAAAATTGTTTCAACTTGTTCTCAGGTGAAGGAGGATGCTGCTAATGGATCCATTACACACATGCAATAAGGGTTTCCCTAATCACTGCTGTGATGGGCTGGTGAAAGTATTTGGGATAAGCTGCAGTAATAGCTAATTGTATTTAGAGGCCCAGCAGCTCCACCAGGCAAAGGGTTTCAAAGGACTGCATGGGAGAATTCACTTCACAAGAGGCCCCTTTCAGACACTCTCCAGGTTTGGAGCTCCTTTCCTTTTAGTACACATTCTGGGAAAGCACTTTTATAATCCTGCTTTAGAGTTATTGCGAGCGAATGCGGTGATGGTTCAATGAAAAAGCATGAAAACAGTAATGGAATTTCTTTTCTTTTTTTCTTCTTTCTTTCCTAATAGGCCCTTTAGAAAGTCAGACCATATGTGTAGAAGCCTTATTAACTGGAGGCCAGGTTTAGAAAGAACTGTGGTAAATTACCAAGATGAATTTGAAAATAAACCTAGAAAACACAGATTTGAGTTCTAAATTAGTACTTTAAAAAAATAATCCGACCTATAATTGCTTGGTGTCTTATGACATTTTAAATAACGTGTGGTATATTTCTTGTAAGACTGAAACTCATTAGGCAGAAAAAAAAAAAGTAAGGAAATTATTAGAATGCTGCATATTTCACTTTGAAATTGCTTTCTTAGGAGAAACTGCAGTTTTACATTCTCTGTATTTTAATACATTTGTTGCAGAAAATGATCTTTGGTAGACTGTGTGTTTTGGATGATCTACATGTGAAATACATGAAAGCATTAAACTGTTTTACGTAGCTGAAACTTAGAGGAAGCTGGGGTGGAGGAAGGAGGTATTACTTCTCCCTCAATGCAGAAGGACTTAAAAAAAGTAATTCTAAAATATACTTGGTTTGCAAAATTTTCTGTTTATACTTGTTCCTAACTTGTTACAGGCATGTGCATTGTAGGGCTGTATTTTTGCTTGATTATTTTTTCCTGACAAGTAGAAAGGATGAATAACTCAGAGAAACAGTGGAAAAATCTTATGAAGAGTTTTATTCCCAGTTCAAATAAAGGACTCTGTTTAGATATGATCTTAATTTCCTTTGGATTAAATGACTTTTGTTCAAAGGTCTCCAAAACCTATAATTTTCACCTTCTCATTCATCAGCTGGTCCCTCTGTGGAAGAGGGAAGAGAAGAGCTGTTAATTCCCTATTTAGATCACATGGATGATTATATCATAATCTTGGGTGTATTTCAGAACAAGTGTGCACTGCATGTCTAGTGTGGCTGTGTCCTTAGGAAAGATCATATTTATTGTTTTCCTCCCCACACTGATGTTAGTTATAACATAGTGCAGTTTTTATTTTCCTTTAATAACCTTTTCAGATTTGCCCATGAACCTGAAAACTCTTTTGGTGGAAAACCTGCATAACAAAGTTTGCAGAACTGAAGTGTATCTTTAAAAAAAAACTTGGGTTTTAAAATTCATTTGAATTAAACATTGCTGTTATTGCTGACATATCTTGGAAATTGCCAAATGGACCATGTTTATGGAAAGTAATTTGAGAATTATCAGGAAGGATAGGAGAATTTTACATATTATACAATTTCTCTTAGATATTATAAAATACACCTTAGTCTTCTAGGTTATAAAATCCTTATATTTTCCATTTTTAAAAATTCTGATTTATTTTGTTATAATTTTTACCTGGCTGCAGAAGGATGATGTTGGCTCTTACATTTACATGTAATGTGTAAATTACATGTACACATATCCCAGTAGGCTAGTGTGGAAGAACTTTGTCCTGTTGTGTGTACTTTGCCTTCAGGACTTAGATTTTCTGAATGTTCCTGCAGATAATGATTAAGAATTTGAAATGTTTTTGCACATAAGGATTTGGGTGGAAAAAAAAAAGACATAAATTGATAAACATGTCTAAGATGGCAAGGAATATCTGCTTTATTTATTTCCTTTTTTTGGGAGTGCCCCTTAAAGCTTGGACTGGCAGCCTTTCAGGCTGAGAGGGACTCTGCCACTGTTTCACTCCATGTGAAACAGCAGCCTTGTAGCAATAAAGGATTCTTCTTTAGCATCCTTATCTTGGAATGCATCTGAGTCCAAATATGCTAAATTACAGAAAATGACAGCCTTTTAGTGGATAAATTAAATTTAGGCGTGTATTTTTGCTGTAATAAAAGGCAATGTTTATATAGAAATGTATTTTTCCCTTATCTTGATGATTTACTGGCCATGCTAATTGAGCACAGCTCTGTTTCTTGTGGCATCACACAAATTAGTTAGAAATTCTACTGTGAATTAACACAGATTTGGCTACAGATGGAGCGGCAGGCAAGCCATCATCATTATTGTTTAAACCTATTAATGTTTACAACTGTTGTTTTAAATCAGATTTGTTTTTAAATAGCATGATTGCAAGAATCCTTTTGTGTTTCAAAGATGAAAGAAAATGAGCAAAGAGTGAGTTGTGGCATGATTTTAAAAAAATAATAACAATGAAAGATTGTCATATAGAATCTCTGCTCTAAGATTTCAGTGATGTTTGTGGAAAAAAAGATTGTTTCTGTGATTACTTTTTGTAGAATTATTAGTGAAAATCCCAGTAGAGCTTATTGCCTGAGCTGCTGGAAAAATGGATGGCTTGAGTTGTTTGTTAGGTGTGGAATATAGTAAACTCATGGTGTAAAAGTCTTTTGCTTATCTCAATTACTTGCTTATCTCAATCAGGACACTGATTATTGAGCTCCCAATTTAGTCTGAATATCTACTTTTTCCTCTCTCCTAGATGTGACTGAATCCTGTTGTATCAGTTTATTTTCTTCAAGAAAATTCTGATTATAAATGTGGGCTAAGGAGCACGTTTAAAGGCCTGGGCAGGCATTGGAAACTGGGGCTTTTGGAGTCCCGTGGGTTTTGCTGCTGGTGAGATAATGTCATGTTTGGCAAACAGCTGAACACAGCAGGAAGTGAGGTTTGGCCTTGGCACAGAGATCAGATGATGGAACTGTGTAAAGCCCCACCATTCTGAGCATTAACATGTACCTTAACTTCTGCACTTGATATTTTTTCATGGACTCAACAGAAATTCTCATCTGTGCTGGTCTTGTTTGTATTTTACAAGAAGCAGATAAATGATGGTTGAAAAAAATAAACAAAAAAAATCCCCCAAGCTACAGCTCCCCAAGAGATTCTTCTTTTCTGAAGGGGGGTTTAATGAAGGGTAGTACTTTGTGTATGAAATGTATTTTTGCTTTCTAATTAGGGTTCCAGTTAAGTGGCAGAATTGTAATTTTTTGCCTACTGGGCAGAGCTTTGCTTATATGTTGGACACATAAGTTATTTTCCTTTTTTCAACTATGAAATTCCATCCTCTGAAGTAGAATATTGATAAAGTGAGAGGGGTTACTCACAGATCAAGTGCATCTCAGCAGGCTGTCCGTGCTTTCTATAAGCTTTGATTTGGGAGTGATTAGTGCCATGTCTGGCAAACTAATGCTAATTTAAAACCCCTTCTGTTCTTGACCCCAATTCTTAAGAGTTCATGGAAGGTACCTGTTGCAACAACTGTGTTTGTAGTGCAGGCACACACACATTTAGAAAAAATTCTGAGCACCAATCAGCAAGTAAACAACTTCTGGTCTTGTCTGATTGTTGCCCATAAAGAGGTTTATAAAGAAGAAAGAAATGAGGCTTCTGAGGAGCCTTGGTTGATTAAGAGCTCTGTTCTTTGTATAATAGCAATAAATACAGGACAGCCTAAAATTAGTCACTTAACTAGTCATAGTGTTGGCATTTGAAACTTTAGGATACTTTGAGGTCAGGCTTCAAAAGTGAAGCATTTGGTAAATATAACTGCTGTTCAGTATTGAAATGTCAGAAATGTGATAATGAAACAACAGGACAGGGTACCCTGGACTTGATGGGATTAGCTACTACATACAGGTTCCATGTGAATCCCTTCCTTTTATTATTTTAGGGAGTAAAGTCCTGTTTGACAGTTTTGCTTCTGGAGGGTTTTTTTCATGACCAATCTCTAACATCTGCCATTCAACTTTTTTCTGCCTAGCCAAGAAATTGCTAGGAATTTTGCTATGTTAGACTAGTTACATCACTGCAGAGAGAAGATTGCTGAACTTGCAAGCTGCCTGTTTCTGCTGCGCAAGCATTCAATATTTTGCATGATAACTTAATAAATTTTGTTTCTGTTTAGAGAGATGAGCCTAATAACGAAACAGATATTTAAAAGTTATTTTTAGTGAACATTTAATATGACAAGGGCAAGTTTCAGGCAGGTTAGTAGGAGGTGAGAAGTTTGCAATATCCTGAGGCATCCATTTCTACTGATCTTTCATATGTGATTAAATTGCTGTTTCTAGATGTAAATCTTGCCAAATAGCTGCTGGCTTTTAATATAAATTACACAGATGTAACAGGGCAGAATAAACCTGATAAGCTGTATGAAGGCATAGTGCAAGTTGCTTATGCTCTTCTCTTGGCTAATTGCTTCTATTCACTGCTTAGCAAGAGCTGTCTCCTGGCTTTTTACTGCTGTGAATTGCTTTGCACATAAGCAGCTAGAGCTTAAAGGATATTTTTGCAAGAAGATGCAGCAAAACACTTTTGCTTCTATTCTTTGTCCTGTTTTTATTTATTTTTAAATGCAAGACAGAATTTCATCCTGTTCCTTAACCATGGGGCTCCTTTTCTGCTAGGCAGTCTTGGCTAATGTGCGGATTCATGTTCTCACTTGTGAGACTGGAATAGGAAAAAGCAGAGTAGCAGGTAGCAATGTCAAATGACAAGCAGTTTAAGCAGGAGGGTCAGAAAAGCTGGAGAAGAAATGGAGCTGCTGTGCTGCATCCTGCTGTGTAGGAAATGTGGTGACACAGGAGTGAGTGGACAAGTAAAACACCTTGCTGCAGAATCTTGCTGTGTGAGTGCTTTTGCCTGTGACCTTCTCCCTGCCATTTCTTTGGAGGGGTACAGTGGGGATGGGGCAGAAAGAAAGAGCTATTCTCTCTGGTATGGAAGTCTGTAATTATTTCCTTCCCCATGATGATGTTGTATTTTTAAAGGTAGCTTCTCCCCTCTGGGAAACAGAATTAAGTGCCCAGCTTGGTCATTTTTTGGAGGTGATCTTGGAATGTATGGCAGCTCTGAGACCAGGCATTGTGTGCTGAAGCTGTTTAGTCATTTTGTCCTGTAATCAGAGGTAA